GGGTGGGGCATGCGATTCTTATTAGATTATATTTTGTTCAGTGTCTTCAAAGAATTATAGATCGATTATTGCGTCCCGACGCTTTGAAATCATGCGCTCGTCAATTTCTGGTCGGATTCTGAAGTGTTTTGTATAATCTTGCAGCGTGTTCATTTCTGTTGGTTTTTACGGGAAAAAGTCACCCATCTTTCTTTGATAAAAGTGAAAATAGGAGAATTTCTTGGGGATATGAGAGGTATAAGTAGAGAGAAAACACTGGACAAAGTTTGGTGACTTCCTAGTCGGAATTGTTGTACTTGGAACCTGCAAATTGACATGTCTTTTTGTGCCTTTGGTGAACGTTTAAAAAAAAAGTTAAATTCACACAGAATTGTTTCGGTTAGTTGTTTTGTTGTTGTTGCTGTTGTTGTTTGTTTGTTTGTTTGTTGTTGTTTTTGTGTGTTTTTTTACATGGACATAAAAGGTGTAGAGCCAAAATAAAAATAAAGTGATAAAACTGCGCACGTAACTGGTGGAAAAAGTGTCGATATCTTGGATTTCATCATTTTGACGAGCGCCTGATTTTACCGCGATGCTTTACAAAATATGTCCTTTTATGTTCCGTGATCTATTATTAAGCATCTGCCTTGTTCAAACACACGGTTGTTAACACGCGAAAATATTACCGCAGCGGGTCTGAAAGGGTTCTCAAATAATTGTTATTGTTTGTTCAGATTTTTTGTTTGATTGCAAGCGTTGAAATTGAAATGGCCGAGGATTGTGCTTTGTTCTGGTCACAAAAATTTACTATTTATTTAGGGTCTGGATCTAAATGTACGCCGATATCTTTTGTGTCTGTGACAAGTCTTCGATAAATATCTGATTTTGTCGTTCGCTTGATGAGTTTTCTATTTCTTGTTTTTTGGGGGGTTTTTTAATTCGCTTTTTTTTCTTGAGCAAAGTACAAAAGATTTTTAGCATGCATTGAAATGATGTTGTAAATCATTGTTTTAAGCTCTAGTTTGTGTTTGTGTATAAATGTTTGTGTGTGTGTGTGTTTGTATGTGCGTGCGTGTGTGTGTGTGTGTGTGTGT